TGCTTTCAGAGATAACTGTACAACAGCAGTAAGACCTGCATTTGAAGATTCATGCAAGCAAAAGCATTTCCTATTATTAACTGTCTAGCAAAAGGTTAAATTGAATTGAATTGCTACATAGATTGCTTCTTGATTTTAGACAAAGACAAATAGGGATTATCTGAGCTTCAAATATCTGTTCAAAGAAATGATCATGATTTCCTAAGATTCCTATGATGGGAAAACACAGAACAAAAGAAAATAAGAAAATTTTGTCATTACAAAGTAGTCTTCAGAATAAAATGCAGTCTGTTTCTTTTAGGAGCAGTGATCAACTCTCATTTAGACCAATGTGAACCTTCTTTGAAGAAAGTGGCTACGAAATTGAAAAATTCTTTGTTGACAATTGTGTCACTTCAGTGAATTCGAATTCAGAAGTAGAATACTTTATTGCAAAATCAACACAATTAATGGCCAGTGCTAACTTAAGAAAGTTTAAGCAAACAGAACTGAACAGTGAAAGATCTACAATGGGCAAACCATTAAAAGTACTTGGTCTTTTGTAAGATAAATATGAAGATTCCTTGTTTTGTGACATTCCTAATAGTGACTTGATTGATCTCTCAGTGTTAAGATGAAACATACTATCTGTTGCCCAGAGAGTTTTTGACCCAATAGATTTCACCTGCCCTTTTACTCTTTTTCCAAAGTTATACTTGCAGATGAGCTGGGGTGTTAAACTGATTTGGGATGCAGAGCTACCTGAAGATATCAAAAGGAATTTCTTGAAGTGTGTGAAAGAATTCCCTTTGTTAAACAAGTATATCCATGAAGATTTCCATACTAGTTACACTGACAGAAGGAAAATCGTTTAGTCTGTGTATGTTTGCCGATGCTTCACGGAAATCCTATGCAAGTGCAGTATATTTGAGAAATCAGAATAACAAAGAAGTCAAAGTGACTCTACTGTAAGCCAAAGCTTGAGTACCTTCCTTGAAAAAAGTAAGTATACCATGACTTGAATTGCTTGTGTATCTTATTGGAATGCAATTAGCCTCATTTGTCAAGAAGAACCTTAAGGCTGAAATTTCAAAGGAGTATTATTGAATAGATTCTTCAACAGCATTCTTCTGGATAAAGAATGTAGAAGTTAGCAGCACTTTTATAAATAACAGAGTTTCAGAAATTAGAATACTATCGGATCGGGAAAATTTGGTACCATGTACCAGGTGCAGGAAACCCAGCTGATATGCCATCAAGAGGATGTACTGTGAAGAAACTTATTGAAGTTGTGTGAAGGCCCACATTGGTTGGCATTGCCAGAAGAATGGCCTATTTCTATCCATTCGATGACAAAGAAGAGGTTAATACTTGAAAACATAAAACAGTCATAGTTTCGTTGAGCAGTGTTAGTGATATGTCCTCACGCTATTTTTCAATGTACGTGAAAATACTAAAAATGATTGGGTGGAAACACAGACTCATAGAAAATATCTGAAAGAAAAAAGAGAATCTGGAGAGTTTAAAGTTTATAATTTGACAAGAGCTGAGAGATTATTCGGTATTGTGAAGATTATTTGGTAAAAATATATTTATGGGTGCCCATTAGCGAAAATTGGTGATACATGGATACTGAGTTTGTGCAATTCTTTAAGTTGTTATTTTTGCTCCAAAAATTGCCACTACACAGTTTTCAAGAAAATTTTATTTTATCCAATGTGACATCAGAAGAATCATAAACTGTAAAGAAATTGATAATTGATAAGCATCTATCTATGTCTCATGCAGGAATTCATGTATTGATCTCAAAACTTAGAGAGACGTTTTGGATCCTGAAAAGCAGAGCTATGATTCAAAAAGCTTTATATGCATTTGTCAGGTGCAGGAGACATGGAAGTAAATGACTATAGACTATGTCTGCTACTCTAACGAGAAAATAGAGTTAAAGGTGTTCATATTTTTGACACTGTCAGAGTTGATTTAGCTGGCCCATTAATTTTGAAAGATAACAGAAAAGCTTGGATTTTACTTTTCATCTGTGCTGTTTTCATGGCTGTGCATTTGGAACTGATTTTGTCCCTTTCAACTCAAGGATTACTTAGCCTTAGAAGATTTATTATCCATAGAAGGAGGCCATCGATAATTTATAGCGACAAGGAAGACAATTTTGTCATGTCCAGTAATCTCTTGAGGTCAATTAACTGGAATACCATCGAGACTGAAGATGCCACAAACGAGATCGACTGAAAGTTCAGTCCACCTGCAGCATCCTGATGAGGTAGTTTGGGGGAACGCCATGTTCAAATTATTAAGAAGCTCTTGTGTGGAGTCCTAGGCCAGTCGTATGAATAAGTGACAAGTGTGCTGTGCGACTGTGAAGCAACTGTGAATTCCAGAACACTCACTTATGTCTCAGAGGTCTCTGATGATCTCATCCTTTTGACATCATCCTTGTTTTTAGGTGAAATTTCAGTCTTCCTAACCTGGGTCATCTTGATAAAGTTGATTCCAACAAGAGACTGAGGCATCTACGGAATTTACAAGAGCTCTTGAAAAAGAGATTTTGAAGTGAATATCTTGGCCTGCTAGTCCAACGTCCATCTACAGTGCTGTTTTCTCAACAGATAAAAATTGGGGACATAGGTCTCATCAAGGGTGATGACAAACACAAGGTTGCTGTGGCCTCTAGTAAAAGTGACTGAGCTATACTCAGGAAAAGATGGCAACATTCAAGTAGTGTATGTCGAAACCTTGTCTGGAAAATTAGTTCGACCAGTCCAGAGAATATTCGCTTTTGAAATACCTTCATCTTTCAAAAATAAAACTGAGATGCAAGGTGAAAACAGTTTACTTTCAAAATTAACAAAGAATAGCTTAGCACCAGATTTATCAAAGGACATTAAGACTACAGTGACTAGAAGTGGATGACAAATTTAAATCCCATCTAGATTTCTTACCTGAACACTGATCGAGTCATTTTAGTGTAGAAATTTAAGAACTTAATTTTCTTTTTGTTTACTGTTTAGTCTTGATGTTTGTGTGAACAGTATTTTTTATATTTGTTTTGATTGATTAAGTGTATGTCATCAATCAAAAGGTGGAAGTATTGTTAGAACCAAGCCTCTGTTGTTATCTTTCATTCATAGTTTGATATTGTAAAAGGTAGCAACCTTCTGATCTTTGTAAGAGTTTATTGTTATGCTATGGATTTTGAATATGAACAGTTTGAATATGTACAGTTGCACTTTGGAATGTTAGATGTAAAATTATTTTAAGTTTATTAGAAGAAAGGAAAACGATTAGTTCTTGCAAATCTATTTAAAAAAATGCAGCAAGCAGAAAAGGCTAAAAAAAATGAGTTAGTAAGAATGAGTAAAACAATGAGTAAGTGAGAAGTAAGTAAGAATGTAACAAAATTATATGCATATTTATATCTAGCATATAGTTTGTACAGTTGCAGTAAATATGGCTTCAAAAGATTTTTTGGTTAGAGTAGATTGAAGGGGTGCCCCTTATATTATCGTGAAGTTGTTGTTTCATTTATAGTAATCTGAGTAGTTGAATGTTATGTAAAAATTGGTTGTGTGATTGCGGTAAATTTTGAATTATGAGAAAAGATTTGTAAGGGCTCGTGGTGTGTGTTGGTTAAGAAGTACATTGCTTGTTTTGTTGTTTAGACGGTTGATGGCTGAATGTGGTAAGATTAATTTGAAGTTTCTGCATGATTTGGAAAAAGAGGGGAAAGATTATTACTTGACCGGTGTGTAAATGAAGGTTTACTTAATAGCCATTATTAAGTGTCCTATGTGTAGGAAGGAAATGTGTATGGTCGAACGTCGGACAATACTGTCGCTACGGAAGATATTTTTTGCTCTTATTTTTGTGGCGACGCCGGTATACAGATTCTAGTTCAGATAATTTTAGTAGGATAGGAAGTTTTTGGATGCTGTTAAGGAATTTTGTTTGACTAAAGACACCTTAATTCGTAAATAAGGTGTAAATGGATATTTCTTTTGTGTAGTGCAAAGATGAATTTCCTTTGTTATGTTATTTCATTGTTTGAATTAAAATGTAGTTTATTGAGATTATATATTTTTTGTTGGCTGCTCCTTTGACTTTTAAGTGAATATAGATCGATGTGTACATGGACAAAGAGAGTGTGCAGCAGTGCCTAGTTTGTGCAATTCTCTGATTTTTTTTAAGTGAAAATAGGTCGATGTGTACATAGATAAAATCAAGGGAGTGTGCTATGTTAAGTTTGTGCAATTTTCTTATGTTTTTTTAAGTGAAAAAAGTCGATGTGTACGTGGATACCGAGTTTGTGCAGTTCTTTGACTTGTTATTTTGACTTTGTGTAATCGCCGCTATGCAAGCCAAAATAACAAGTCAAAGAATTGCACAAACTTTGGTATCATGTACCACCAAAAATCGCCAGTTTTCGCCAAGGGGTACCCATATATATATATATATATATATATATTGTTTCTTTGCAAAGTAAATTCTGCTAGATCAGACTGAAAATGAGTCAAAGTCATTCATACATATTAAGTCATGAAAAGTGAAATACATGAAAAAGTCATTCATACGTAAAAAGAGAAAAAGAATGTTAAAAAACCTTTTTCAGGAAAAAAAGGCATTTTATTCAATAACAGAGTAATAAAAGGATTAGGAAATGTGCCAATATATCAACGATGAAAGCATTTAAAGATGCAGTGCTAAAAGTTAGAAGCTAAGCAATAAAATCGCTGAATACTGGTAGTTCATCTTCAAGGTTCAAATCCCAATGAATAAATGCGTGGTAGTTTTTACAGTTTTTGCCTTGTCAGATGTAACAAAAACTATAAAAACAAATTACTTTTTTTTTTTTTTTTTTATGAGTTACTTTAAGTATTACCTTAAGGTTGATATCTAAATTCCTTTACGTAGTAATACAGCATATTTTGATTCTAAATGAATTTCTGTTTCATCTTAATGGCTATTCTGCATTAGTTTGCTTATAATTTTTATTTTTTTCCTTTTAGGAGAGGACTCTCGAAAAAAGACACTTCACTTTTCCAATCATCGTGTCTGCAAAAGTTTTTTATTAAATTGTTGTCCTCATGAAATATTGGCTGCAACGGTTAGTATATAATAATTGCAAATATTTCTTTTAATTCTCATACCAACCAACAGTTTGGTTCTCAAACCCTAAATTTTTTTTAAAATCTTATGAGAAAGTGTATTTTTTTTTTTTTTTTTTATTATAATTACAAAAGAAATCTGCCATTTTGTACTTTCACTGTTGTAATTCAGATACATTTTAATATGCACATGTATGTATTTACACAATGGTGTTGGGGAAAATATTGTTGAATGTATAAATATATGGCTTAGCCAGCCATAGTGCTAAATGTTGCTCTTGATTATAATTATAATCATATTATAATCAAGTAAACAAAATGAATCTGCCATTTTATGCTTTGATTCTCACTGTCTTAATTATTCAAATACATTTCAAGATTCACTTATATGTATTTACACAAAGATGTCAGGAAAAATGTTGTTGAACATATAATATGGCTTAGCCAGCTGGAATGTTCAATGTTACACAGAAAGACATTTTTGTTTGTGCTCTATAGCAGTAAAAATATACTTTGTTTTTCTGAATTAAAAAGATTTAGCTAACTAAAAAAATTTTTTTTAACGTGTTGCTAGATAACTTTCTTACCTTGGATTTTTTGGTATAGGTTGGGCATTCTTTATCTGATAATCTAAAATGCTTCAAAAACCTGAAACATTTTGAGTTCCAGTGTGATACCACAGGCAGAAAATTTCACATCTGCCTGACCCAGTGCATTGTTTTTTCCCTCCCTCTGTATTAATGGTATGTCATTTATTTTTACTGTTAAGTATTTAAATATAAAAAAGCATAAAGAAATGATTTTTTTATTATCAGCTCTAAATTCAAGTAGAAGTAATGGTGATGTCAAGTAAACACAAACTGTACATATATAATAATGTTGTTGCTTTCTGATGGCTCTACCTGCACTTTATTTCACTTGAAAAATTATTAAAAATATTGTATGAAATGACCTTGAGATTATATGTATAGTATGTAGTGTATTTACTCGTGTATTCCTGTCTTTTAAGTAAATTTTAATACACAAAAATCGAGGGGGAAAATTTTGCAAATTTAATTTCTGAAAAATACAGTTACAGTAAGAACATAATAAATAATAACATAATTAATTAGTGTTCATAGGTAAACTGTCATAATATTATTTATTTAAAAGAAGTCTACATTCCAATAAGAATATATAGTAATATTGACATTGCGATATCTAATAAGATATCTTCATTTCTGCTTCCCGGTGTCTTGAATCTTACTCCTCTTATTGTCCACTTCCGTTCCCTAGGCATCAAATCATTTAGTGTTGCTGGAACTGCTTTCTGTGTCATCTGGTGCAGCTGGTAAGTTGTTGCCATCGTCCTCATCACTGTTCAATTTGTCTTGTCATGTGCAATGATCTTCTGAGCCATCAAGAACACTTCAGTTTTCTTTAAACTCTTTGGTATGTTGCATGGACTGCATTATCAGTAAAAGTCCATCCACCAAAATCCATGAGCAAATCAATTAGTAAGATAAAAACAACCACTAGGTGTATTGAATCCATTTTAAAATTTAGGACAGCTCACTTTGTGAACACTGAGGGGGAAATAATGTGAATATTTAAAAATTTTCAGAAGCTTGCTCTAAAAAGCAAAGGGAGATAATACGTGAGGGGGGAAATATATGAGTAAATACATTTATATTTAAACTTGAGTGATACTTTGACAATATTTTATTATTATGCAAAATATTCCAAGCTATAAATGTATTCAAAATCCTTCCAATTTTAAACATCACAGGTAATGGGTTCTCTGTGTCCCAAATGTCTTTTGTACTACTAAATTACTAAAAATTGCAAATGTACATTTTTGCTCAGAACTATCGCTATATTTCTCATTTTATATAAAGTTTGATTTGATTTGATTTATGTCTTTTAAAAATTGTTTTCAAAATATTTTCTTCTTTTTAGTAAATAACTTGGCATTTTTCTCTCAGTAAAATTATTTACAACAAATGCTTTGTAATCTAGTTTACATCTTTAAACAACTAGTTTTTATCCATTAGTGAAAGTGTATCTTTTTCCATGATTTAACTTAAAAACAAAATGAAATTAACTCAGAAAATTTAAATTATTTAATTTTCATCACCAGTGATTATGTAAAACAGAATATGTACTTTTTTTGTGGAGGGACAAAGGGACTAGCGATGTATGTTTTATTGTGAGTTGCCAGTTTGTGAGAAATTCAGTCTTTTATCTTTATAATAAACCCAAGATGTTATATCATCTTTTCAGTTGTTGCACATTTAATGTACTCAATTATATAATGTTTCAAAATATTCGTTCTTTTCTTTGATAATATTCAGAAAACATTACTCTTAATGACTTCCTTCCTGGTATTGATTATTATTAAATCGTTATCAGAAGCAAAACATGACGGCCATCAGGTAGATACATTACATTATTAAGTGTTGTAGTTTATTCATAAATTGACAGGTGTTTTGTGAAATTGCTTTTGTTTCATTAAAAAAAAAAAAAAAAAAAAAAAAAAAAAAAATTAATTTGTTCCTAATCCACTTCTATGTTCTCACTGCCTTTTTCTTTATTTAAAGATATATATTTCTACCTTTGTAACAAGCATATGCAGAGATGTATATTTATTTTACATCTTAGTAAAAAATTCTGAGAACATATTAAACATTGTCAATATGTAGAAGGCCATTTAGGAAAAAAAGTTGCAAAGTGAATAACAGCACAGGTAACTCTAAAATATATTTTTAAAAAAATTGTGCTAAAAAAATTATTTGTTAGATGTATAAGTTTGAACCCTTTTGTGTAATAAATTTTAAAAGAAAAGAAAATGGAGCTGATACGAGAGCATTATCTTAATATGATTTTAAAGCAAGGCTAAATCAAGAATGCCTTTGACATTTAGCATATGGAAATGAAGCTCTATCTTGTTCCAGTGTATTCAAGTTGTTTATAGAATTTTGTAGAGATTGAAATTCTCTCCTGGATGAAAAACATACAGGAAGACCATCATCAGCTGTAGTCTCAGAACTCTGTTCGCTGTATGTCAAATGTAAACCAATATTATTGCTGTATGTGTCAAATGATGTAGAAGAAACTTGATGTTGGATCAGGTATATAAAAATTATTCATGAAGAACTATACATAAAAAAAATTCATTGGTTTCTCCATCAATTAACAGAACATCAAAACACTGAACATGTCAGAAACTGTAAAAAAACCCTAAAATTACTTAATGGTGGTGGGCACTGCATTATTTCTAAAGTCATAAGTGGAAATGAAACTTATATACATTTTTTAAAAATTTTATTAGCCCAAAGGAGCAATTGGCTCAGAAGGGCTATTAATTTCATTTTGGCATTTTGAGCTGGTTCACTATAAATAGCTTTTCACTTTTCAAAGTGTTTTATTATCTATTTCGCAAAATTTAAACCAATTTTTGATTAACAAACTTGACAACTTCAAAGCGAGCAATGGCAACATTGTACAGGAAAAAAACATTTTTTCATTTTCAGCACGTGAGACTATATATCGAAAATTCTAAAAATATGCTCTTTTTAAATTATTTTGTGATATTGCTATTGAATTGAATTTTCTGGGTTAAGTGCGAAGAACATGATATTTAATAAATAAAGGTAACACACAAAACGTTAAAAAAAAAGTCCCTCTTTATGCATAATATAAACACTGAAAGCTTTCAGATTTTTATTTACTTATTTATTTATTTTGGAGTAAAAAGCTCTAACTCGTCAAGAAAGCAAAGTGTGAGTCTTTGAAGAATTAACAAATTAACAATGGTGAAAAGACAATGAGCAGTAAAAAAGGTAATGTGGGCCATTTACTTCAGAAGAACAGGACTGGTCGAAACCATCAATTTAGAGGTACAGAAAACAGTTACAGCTAGCTGTAACTGTGAGTGTCTTCCAGAAAAGTTTTAAGAAGTGAAAATTAAGTGACTCGTGTTTCACCACGATGATACATCTTCTCATTTAGCAAGACTGGCACTCAGACTTCTTGGACAAAAGCATTCAAATAATGAAACAACCATTTATTCTCCTGATCTTGCCATGTGTTACTTTGACTATCTTTTAAATTAAAACAAAATTTATGTATTCATCATTCATTCTGAAGATCAGATTGAATGTAAAAAGCATTTTCTTATATAAAAGCATATTCTTCATCCATTCCAAGAAATGGATGACTCGAAGCATTAAATCTTTAGCAAATTCACCTACAAAAGTGCATTGGAATTTGAGAGGACTAATTTGAACTCTTCTAAGATTTAGTAACTTGTATCATTTAGTAACTTGTATCATTTTTTGTATCTAAAAAATTTCAGACTGAGCCTTATAAGATTAAACTTAAGAAATTTTCTCTATGGTTCGGTTTTAGACAATATTTGCTGGCTGTATGAAAAACTGTGTACCTGTGTCTTACAGTAAAACTTTCCCAAAAACATAAAACAGAGTGTAGTTTTTGGACTTTGCCATAACTGGAGAATAAATTGGAAAGTTATTTGTATTGATAAATCATTATTTGGCAAAGAAGTTCTAGCTTAATTTTATTTTTTGTCTGTTATTTAATAGAATACAACAAAGCAATCAATAGCCATCACCAAGAGAAGAAATGCCTATGAAAAACTTTCTAAAGAAGCAAAATTTTCTAAGGGACAATAATTTGTATTTACATTATACATAAAACCATGAAAATTACCATGCAGTCTGTTCATTTGCAACAATTGAAACTTGATTAATCTACCCCAGTGTTAAACAGTCTTGTCCATTTAGGCCTTGTTTAGATATTTGTTATATTTGTTAGGCCTTGTTTAGATATTTACTGACCTAATATTTGAAATTCTGATTGTGATCTTAAGATGAGGTTATTACTCAAACATGTTTTAGCAGCTAAAGTAATAAAACAATCGTTTATAAAATAAATTTAAGTACCTAAAGGTATTAGAAAGTTGCAAACGTTTTAAGTGATATATGTGCTATCTAAACTC